AGAGAGACAGGATTGAGGAAAAAAGGAGGGAAAAATGAGAGATCGGAGCGGGAGAACGGAAAAAAAAAAATTAGCCAAAAATTCGAGTTTGGAGCCTACGAGAAACGGGCTGAAGTAAGGGGTAGAGTGGAGGAGCGGCGTAGGGAAAGGTAGGGAAAAGGTATAAAAGAGGGAAAGAGATCGAGAGAAGGGAGGAGGGAAATTTTCTTTGCGTACGGGCGAGGAAGTGGTGCACGAACAACACACGGAGAGCGCGGACCTTCCCAGCGGCGCTCGGCAGCGAGCCAGCGTCCGGAGGAAGAGACCGAGAGGAAGAGAGAGAGGGAGAGAGGGGTATAGAGAGAGAGAGGGAGAGGAGGCGGACCGAAGCGCACAGAGACAAACGGCTGCAATCCAAGGAGCTCGGGGCGCACGAGTTCAGCGAGCGTACGCTTAGGCGCGCGGAGAGTACTATCATCGCTAGCCGCTCTCGGTAGTGAGCGGATGACAGTAGGAGAAAGAGAGAGAGTGAGAGGAGAGGGTGCGGGGAACACAAGAGCCAGGAGGAGTACAGAGCTCGCGAAAGGGAAGCGCTCCCCGTAAGGCTCGGGGTGCTCAGATACGGGGAACTTGAACGAGGGGGAGAGCACGAGTGGGAACGCACGAGAGTTTGAGCGCTCGGGTTTTTCAACGCACGAGAGCTCGTGCCCGCTTCGCGCGTACGTCGGAGGTCATTAGCGCAGATGAGATCTTGACAAGGGAGGAAGCGCTCGTGACGAGGGAGATAGGCTCGCGCAGGTGGAGGCGTCGGGGACGCACTAGCGCCTGGCAGCGCCCGACCGTACGGGCCGCTCACGATAGAGTGAGGAAAAACGAGAAAGAAGGAGGTCGAGGGAGACGGGAGGAAAAGGGACGGAGAGAGGCAAGGGAGGAGGGAGAGACCACTGACCTCGTTCCTACGGGGCTCCCGCGGTTGAAGGAGACCGAGAGAGAGAAGGGGGAGGAAGTGCACGAGTTCGGGCGCAGCACGGGGCGGGTCCCACGGGATACCTGGAACGAACGGTCGACTCGAAGGCCAAGCGGAAACCAGCTCTGGAGCTCGTCCGCTGGCGAACACTCGGGAGTGGGGCATAGAGGAGGCGCTCGTGAGGATAGGGGAGTAGAACGTGACGTCCTCCTGTCGTATGAAGTGAGCAAAGTGATGAGGAGAAGTGAAGGCGATGTCTAGGTGGAACCCAGAGGGACAAGGGTCCTGGGGCGGTAGGTCTGGAGGGGTGTCGCCTGTAGTTCCAATGAAGGGGACTCGATGGGTTTTACCACACTTCATTTTGAGGACGAGTCTCTCAGTCGCCCATTCGGCCGCCACGGAACCAGCGACACCAGGGAGTGTTAAGGATAAAGTCGTACCCAGTCTCCAACATGTCGAAGTATGCGGAGGAATGCTAGCGCCGAGGCGGCTGGGTACTATCCGGTGGCTGGAGGGTTAGGGAGAAGTGGAGGTCGGGGACCGTCTGATCGAAGAAGCGCTGCGTCTTGTTATCTCTGAGGGTAACAGAGATAGGAGAGCGAGACCCATAGGTAGTTAGGCGAGCTTCCTCAACCACGCGAGGGTGAACGAAATCTCCCTGCGAGCCAGAGTCCCATAAAGCGCGGTACACCCTCGTAGATGTCCCAGGCGAATAGGGATGATAGGGAGGGTGCGATCAGGGTCAGAGAGCAGAGCGAGAAGACGATGCAGGACATTTACGTACCTCGTGAGTCGCTCCTGGCGAGCCTGAAGGATGCTCAAATCCAGAAGAGATGACACGATGTCATCGCGAGTCACCAGTTGGGCACTACAACGAGTTGTGCGAATGGCGCGACTCGTCAGAAGTTTCGGAGGGGAAGGACTAGATGCGGCGGTGTGCTGTGGGGCAGACAACAGGGCAGAGGGAACTGCGTCTGTCGTGTCCTGAGGATCCTTTGGTAGGCTAGCCAAAGGGGCAAATCCCGACTCGGTGGTCGGGAAGCCGGCTACGTGCGAGGCCTCAGCGGTACACTGCACTGTGGCTAGCTGGGTGGGGTTGGCCAGACGGGGCCGGGGGGGGACTGAGATCGACGCTGACGAGAAATGTCAATGTAGTGTTGATCGAGGGCGGCATGGTATGGACACCGTGAGGAGGTGTGTCCATCCTGGTGGCAATGAAGGCATCCGCGACGGGCCTCGAGGGCGGTGCACTCCTCAGGAGATAGAGCTCCGCGAGGAGGAACACAACCCTGCGGGAGGTCTATCCGAGGAACCGTGTTCGTGCGGGCGCCAGCCTGTGCAAGCCGACTGCGCGCACAACCCATGGCGAACATGGTCATCTGCAGGCGCTCGACCACCGGAATAGTGTCGTCATCCAAGTGATATTGGATGACGTCTCGGAGCTCGATGTCCTCGGGGTCGTCCCCAAGGGTAGGGCCAAGCTCGTCCGAGGTGTCCTCGCCGTACTCTAGACAACTGTAGCGCCGAGAGAATGGCGCTCCAGGTCGAGCTGGTCGGTGGAAGCGGTCGGCGAAGGAGGATCGACCGTTGTCGCACTTTTTCTAGTCGGGCCCCTTCAAGCAACCAGAAAGCCAACAGGCTGTCACGCAGGGTTTGGTTGTTTTTGCAATAAATAAAATAAATTAATTAAAGCAAATCCCTTCCTGTTGTGTGTGTCCGACTTCGAGCGAGACCCTTCAATTGCGGTCTTCGCCAGTCCCTGGTCTTAGGAATCTTTTACTTTGATTCAGAACTGCAGAGAACCATGCAAATAATAAATAAAAAAAGAAATTCTGATATGTCATGCATGCATCAATTTGCTAATCTACTAACTTTGAGAACTGTGACAACATCATCAGAGAACATGATCACCAAGCAAAACGATGTAGTCCATACAAGACTGACTGACTCAAGCAAGGACAAGGGTAAATGAGGGAAGAATGAAAACTCATAATAATCTCGGAGAGTACATATGAAGTGAGCATGGCCTGCACCAGTCAAGAGTCCTCACTCATCCCTCTGCGTCATTCACTCAATCTCTCACTTGGCTGCATGTTTCTTGTGCCTCGAGCCGTGTCCACGTACTCCCTGAGATTGTGGTCTCTGGATATACAGCCACCTAAAGCCTGCAAGTTCTGAACACTTCCATCCGAGGGCCGTAATACGGAAGTCAACCATAGCGCAAAACTCCTCCCACAGAGTGGGGAGATATGGCCTAGAAAAAATCCCTCGTCTGAGATGCCGAAACTCTAAGACTCTGTCACTGCCGAATAGTCAATTGCTGCAGGGGAGATATACCTCTTTGCAAGATCAACCAGGTCACTCCAACAAGAACCGTCAGTGAGAGGAAGAGGCACTGGTGGCCTGGGGTGGTCGGTATAGAGCTTGGGCCCAAAACTACGGATCAACTTGATACCACTCTCATCAAACTCCCTCTCTTTCTTCTCAAGGTACCTGGCCGCTGAGAACCAAACTGGATCAAAGTGCTCATGGCGGCCCGGATCCCCAACCAGTTTTTCCCTGAAAAGACAAGGAACAAATCTGCGAACCTGATTCTTTTCATACTTTTTTTCCGCAAAACTCCAAGGTCGAACTACTGGCAAAGTTGGCGTGCCTGACCACCCCCGCAGTCTTTCCCTGGCATTCCGACGGACTCACCGGTACGTCAATTTAACCACGTTAGGGGAATTAGTGGTTTAATCCCATGAGAATAAAACCGCAATGATCCCCAAACTGAAAGATACTCGTCAGACGTCGAAGTACAGGTAGACTCAGATCTGCACAATGTCTCCAGCTAACGTGAAAGTGATATCTGATACAGTATCTCGTTACCAATAGACGAAGAGAGCGGAGGGGGAAATAGACAGAGGAGAGGGTGGAAGAGATAATCAGTGACCACTCAAGAGCAGCACAATCAATTTCCACTCCTTCTCCGGGCTTCCTCTCCCTCCACGTCATCAATCAATAAACAGTAACAAGTCTGATAAGCCCTGATCACACAGAAGTGCCACGTGGCACTATTCTTCCATGGAGACAATGAAGACAATCAGCAGCGTACAATGTCGACGTCAGCCTCAGGTAAGTATCCCGTCCCTCAATCGTCCACAGATCCCGATCTCCCTCCTTATCGCAACCAATCAACTCATGTAGACAGCATGGCCAGTGCCACGTCAGCAGAAGAGACAGGTGGCATGCGCCACATCAACAATGAAGATAGGTGGCAGCACCACATCAACAATGCAATGTAGACAAGTGGCATGCGCCGCATCAGCAGTGTGAACAAGTGGCATGCGCCACATCAGCAGTGTAGACAAGTGGCATGTGCCACATCAGCAGTGTAGACAGGTGGCAGCGCCACATCAGCAATGCCTGGCGCACAGAACAGAAAGCGCCAGCATGCTGCCACAGTCCCGCGCAGTCATCCACAGTGCCAGCGAACAGCCAGCGTTGAGTCAGCTTCCAGCCAGTGTCGAGCCAGCGTTCAGCTACAGTCAAGCCAGCGTCGAGGCAGCATAGCAAGACTGAATGTTGACCACCTGGAGACCAAGCCTTATGTAGTATTTGACGAGGCTGTCCTCAGGTCTCCTTCCCACAGTCGTACAGATTGACTCACAGTCGAGGGCCTGGATTGTACACAGTTCCAGAGTCCCCCTTGGTCCTGATGCTGTCTGGGTACCTGCATACAAACAAGTGTGTGCATCTGACCGGCGGCCTGGGCTGGGTACACTTTGACTTTGACTGTTGGGTGTCTGACAATTGACTTTTGTCAACTGTCACTCGTCCAGGCCCTGAATCTCTACGTGGGGTTCTTTTCCCCCTTTGGCCTGGGTCTGAGTGCGGCCTGCAAGGCCCTTAGACTTTCCACGAGGCATACTACATGGGTTATTGCAAAACAACAAAGAAGGTCAACCTTCCCCCCTCACTCTGTTGGGATGTCCCAGCTGGTAAATTAAAAAAACGAAACAAAAAAAGGGACGTCCTAGATGGTATCCTGTGGAACCCCTATCCAACTGACCTGCAGCTGTAATTAGAATTCATTGTCGTCGTCATCATCATCAACTGATATGTGTGGAGGTTCAGGGAGTATCGAAACTCCATGTCCAACTGCGGCGATAGGACCACAACTCCTGTGCTCTCCTCCTCTTTGCCACCACCTCTGCCTCCTGCCAATACCTGCAAATCAGTCCAGGTGCAGCAGAGTATTTCCAAAAACACATTCAGAAAAGGCAAAAGGCAAAAAGGGTGTTGTTTGTTTGAACTTCGAAGTTTGGGGGAAAAAAAAGGTGTTAGTGCTGGACCTGGTAGTGGTGGTGGTGGTGTGATGGACGACATGGGGTGCGAAGTGAGAAAAAGGGAGCTCAACCGTTTTACTTCTAGAAAGTAAGGGATCTTTTTATTTTTAGAAAAGTGCTATAGGCATGGAGGGGGGTAGGAGAGCCAAGAAAACTGCTAGCTGCTGCAGAGAGTGGGAGACAATCTCAGCTGCTGCAAAAGGAGTAGGTGGAAAGGATCCTAACATGGAGGAGGGGGAGAAGAAAGGGGAGGAGGTTTGGGAGGATGAGCGCGAGGACAGCATGAAGCAGGACAAGGAAGAGGAGTCTGGGAAAGGTCCAAGAAGGAGACCGAAGTGGATCAAAGGGAAGACAAGTGAAATTCAACGGAACAGCAGGCAGGGAATGTCAAAGGAAATGGAATGTTGAACGAAGGAGGACAACTAAGGGAACGAAGAGATGGAGGCCATGATCCATAGAATCGCAGGATTGCTTTCTTTTCCTTCTATTTTGCGAATAAAGAGCCAACATGAAATGGAAAAACCAAAGAGGAGGAGGAGGAAGAAGAGCTGGAGGAGCAGTAGGAGGGAGAGGGGAAGAAGGATAAGGATGAGGAACATGTGGATGAGAAGGGATAAGGGAGATATCAGAAAGGATATGTGTACCTCAATCATTATCAGCAGTAGCAGCAGCCGTAGCAGCATAATCAGCCCTAACTCCACTTCCTTTTCTCTTTTGTGTTTCCTATTTCTTCTCTTTTCTTTTTGTTACTTTTCGCATGGTGAACAGGGGTAGTAGCTCCTAAATTATTATATTGATCTGATTGCAGCAGGATTCAAACTCATGATCTGTTTCCTAGCAGTCACATGTGTGTACTATTCACCCACATTGGCTGGGAAGCTAACTGCTCTTCCTGCTCCGCGTCCTCCCCACCTTCTGTCTTCTCCTCCTTGGCCGTCAAGCTTCCTTCATTTCCTCCTCCCCCCACTCTCTCCTGCATGCTCCCCATCCTCCTCCTCCTCCTCCTCCTCCTCTTCCCATTTATCTTTCCCTCATCAACATCACCTTCCTCCTCCCCCTCCTCTTCCTCTTCCTCCTCCTCCACCTCAATGTCTTGCTATGTCTCCTCATCATCATAATCATCGCCGCCACAACCATCTTCCTACTCCTCCTCGTCATCATGATCATCATCGCCTTCATCTTCTTTCTCCTCCTTCTTTGTTGTTTCGCTCCTCTTCTTCATTATCTTCCTATGTGTGAGGCCACTGCCTCTATGAGCCCCTTTCGGCCCCTCTCTTGCAGCCCATCGGCCGCCCTAAGTGAAGGCAGGCTTGACGAGGCCTTCAGGGCCCTATTTTGGTCACTGCACATTTAAGGAAATTCAGGCAGTTGCGCAGCGCCAGTTGGTTGAGAGAATCCAGGCCCTGGGCCGCCAGTGTGAATGTATGGAAAGCAGGCCCTGGGCTGGATACGGGTTCTGGGCCAAACACAGGCTGAAGGCAGTTGGGGCACATGCAACCACCAGGCCCAAGGCCTGTCCTCAATCGTGCTGGGCCTCAGGCTACCAGGGCCTACTGGAAGCTTCCTGGGACTGAACGCAGGCAGGCCACTTCGATATAGCAAAGGGCCTGCCTTCACATTCGTCATTCGGGTGCTGGCTGCATGCTGCGCAAGCGCTGCTGCGCTATTTGCTGGCTGGCGCCTACGCGCTCACGGGCGAGCAGGGAAGGAGCAGGCAGCCATAGCCGGGCTGCGCTGCTATAAGCTGGGTGTGGCGCAGGGTGGTCCTTGGGTGCAAGTGGCATCTGTGTGTTGGGGAACGAGGTTGTGAGTAAGGCGAGAGACATACCTGGTGCTGGAAGCGTGCGACATTGGTCGCTGTATGCTCGTACTTCGG